GATGAGCTATATAGAACTGGAGCCAAGGTACCTTCCGAAGTGTTTGTCAATAGCAAATTGACACCAAAGCTTGCTCGGCAAATGCAGGACGTTCTCGCACTATGTAGTGGCAGTTTACCTTCTTGGTGTTATCAAATGACCAAGGCCTGCCCATTTCTGTTTCCTTTTGAGACAAGGAGGCAGTACTTCTATTCCACAGCCTTTGGGTTGTCGCGAGCATTGAATCGACTTCAGCAACAGCAGAGTGACAATCACAGCTCTGGTGGTGAAAGAGAGGTCCGGTTTGGCAGGTTACAACGTCAGAAAGTTCGTGTTTCCCGTAACCGTATTCTAGATTCTGCTGCTAAAGTTATGGAGATGTTCTCCAGTCAGAGGGCTGTTCTTGAGGTGGAATACTTTGGCGAAGTTGGAACTGGGCTGGGGCCTACTTTGGAGTTTTATACTCTCTTAAGCCATGAACTACAAAGTGCTCAACTGGGATTATGGAGATCTACTTCATATGATTCAGGATTGCACATTGATAGGAAGGATGTGATTAGTTTAGATCCTGAAGATGGCTCGTCAGGAAAAGGACCCAACACAGATCTACCAGGTGATGGCAGGCATTTGATACAAGCTCCTCTTGGATTGTTCCCTCGACCTTGGCCACCTAAAGTTGATGCTTCAGAAGGTAGCAGATTCTTCAAAGTTTTGGAGCATTTCCGCTTAATAGGTCAAGTGATGGCAAAAGTCCTGCAAGATGGCAGACTTTTAGATTTGCCTTTATCAACAGCGTTTTATAAGCTTATACTTGGACAGGTATGTACAGAGAAGCTCTATTCCCAAGTGCAGTGTATTTGCTTTCATTTTGTTTTGCTTTGTTTTATGGGTTAATTGGTTCGGTGTTGTATTCTCTTTTCATGACTTAATGCATTTCCACTGGCCAGGAGCTTGATTTGTTTGACATAGTCTCATTTGATTCTGAGTTTGGGAAGACATTGCAAGAACTGCGAGTTCTTGTTGAACGAAAGCAGTTCCTTGAATCCACTTGTGGCAAGAATCAGCTACAAGTTGCAGATTTGCGTTTCCATGGCGCTTCTATTGAAGATTTGTGTTTAGATTTTACCCTTCCAGGTTATCCTGATTATGTGCTCAAAGAGGGTGAAGGAGGCACAATTGTAAGTGATTAAGTCCATATTAGTGTCTATTTATCTTGGTGATTTCACTTTATATTTTTTAGCCTGTTAGTTAATGCAATTATCATTTGCAGGTTAATATTTACAATTTAGAAGAGTATATTACTTTGGTAGTGGATGCTACAGTTAAGTCAGGGATAAAGCGACAGGTTGAGGCATTTAGATCAGGGTTTAATCAGGTACAGCCTCATTGGTATTGCTTTCATATAATCTTATAATAATTCCACTTGTTCTGATTTTGTGTAGTTTAGTTTACTCCAATAATTCTTGTTTATTTTAATATTTCATAGGTGTTTGACATGTCATCCCTCCACATATTTTCACCTCAAGAACTTGACTATCTAATATGTGGCCGACAAGAAATTTGGGAGGTAATCTTCTGTCCTCTTTATCCAAGTTATTATACGTTAAAGTATGGCACTAAATAAACCTTGGAATCTGCAGTTGGAATCCCTGGTGGATAACATAAAATTTGATCATGGATATACTGCTAAAAGTCCTGCGATCGTGAATGTAAGCTCATTCATTCTCATATGCTACATCTCTTACAGACATCCAATTGTGGTCTTTGAGAAATGCGGTTCCTTGATTCTTGCTCTTGTTTGTAGCTACTCGAGATTTTGTCAGAATTCACCCCTGAGCAGCAGCATGCATTCTGCCAGTTTGTAACTGGTGCTCCTCGGCTTCCACCCGGTGGATTGGCAGCCCTTAATCCCAAGCTTACTATAGTTAGGAAGGTACTTTTTCATGGTGTATCTACCATGGCATTTGCTATTATAACATGTGCCTACCTATTCTGCTTGATGTTATTTTTGGGGTAACGTGGTGTTACTTTTGATTATTGCCAGCACCCTTCAAGTGCTGTGAATGCTTCAAATTCAACTGGGGCAACGGAGTCTGCTGATGATGATTTGCCTAGTGTGATGACGTGCGCCAATTATCTGAAGCTGCCCCCGTACTCCACAAAAGTATGGTGTCCTTGCTGTTTTCTCTCTCTAAAATGTCAGTTGACATTCTGATGTTTCCTGCTGATGGGCTATTGCTATTGTTTGGACAGGAAATCATGCGCAAGAAGTTGCTTTATGCGATCCTGGAAGGCCGAGGATCGTTTGATCTTTCATAAGAAATATATAATATCCGAACTAACATACAGGGGTCAATTTTATGCTGGAGTTAGTTTCTTGGTTGGTCCATATAACAAAGGTTGAGGTTACCAGCCGCGCAGCAAACGGCTTCAAGGGCGAGAGAGCCCAGTCCTCACTCGGATGCAGGTGCTGCTGTCAATTTCTCCTTTCTTTTACATTTGTTCAGCTATATATTCTCCTTGTCACCTACATTTACGAATTTACAGCTTTTGTCATTGAGGAAGTTTAACACGTTTTGGTTTGTCTATGATCTGTTTCCATTGGGCAGGCTATATGCGCCAACAAGAACCAAAAGGGAGCCCTTTCTTTCAGTACATGTAAATAAAAGGGAATTTTTGTTCCAGAATCCAGAATTGGTGATGTGATCATGTTGATCCAGAATTTTTATCTGTAACAAGAACATGTACATGTGTGATGACTGACTGTTAATAAATGTGGCCCAGTGTACCATTTTTTTTTCTTTGAGCACTGGCAGTACCATGTTCTCCGATACAGAAACGCTACAACAGAATGATGTGGTTACCACGATCCCGCCCACACCATTACTGATGCCACGATCCCACCCAATTCCTCCACTACTGATGCCATTTCACCAGAGAACGAGGATATTATGTTCAGTTGATTGAAAGAAAAGATACTTTAAACGGAAAGGAGGCAAATACTGCCATTCGAGGTGATGAATGGCCCCCAAAACAAGGGGAAAAGCATGTGGAAAACTTTGATGCGATAGCAACAAAATCAGCCTGGTTTGCAGCCCAAAACGCTTGCTGCTCATCATCTCTGAGACCCTTAGCGTCCGAACGCGTTATTATCTTTGATACCCCTTCCTTCTCTCAGGAAGGAAAGCATGTTCCATCTATGGTGCAGCTGTAAACCAAATTACATGTGTAGTGAAAATATATATGGTAAATAATTTGGCGAGTTTGTCAAATTGAACTTATATACAAGGATATGCTGGAATTGAGCAGGTGCATTCGTGCAGGGTTGGAGTCTTGGATAGAGGGGAAAGGAAGAGGGACAATGGACAAACATGAATAAAGTGAGAGAGATTGGGTCCTAGATATTTGATTCTTTATATTTTAAAGCAACTCTAGGAATTTCCAGAATGAACTCCCTATTTAGATATTTTTGCAAAAAGAGAAAAAATATCTTTCCAATAGTTTGGTAAAATAACTCCTTAAAAAGTTAGATTTTTTCTCCAACGCGTAAGTTTCCGCAGCCGATAGAAACTCCGTATGCACTCCCCCACCATCGAACGTTTTTCTCGATAGATCAGAGTAAATTGGACATGTGAGTAATAAATTAAGAAAATAAAGAGTTTCATGTGAGAAAACAGTAAGAGTTGGGTTCCCAATGCAAACCGTTTATATAGGAAGCAAATATAGGAATGTGAATTAAACTGAGGTTGCTACCTATTTTGTTAGCAAGTTAATTATAGGAAACAACTGGAGTTAATTTATGTGGTAGTTCTTGTAAATATTAAACTTTGTCTTGTCCATGCGAATGCCTATTTTACTTGCTAATTATGTTATTATTATGTACACACTGGAATGAATTAACTAATGAATACAGTTGACTACTAAAAGACAAATGCAAATACATATTTTACTTGCTTATGTTATTATTATGTACATACACACTTGAATGAATTAACCAATGCATACAGTGACTACTAAAAAACAAATGTATACCGTGTGTGCTATATTAGTTTTTCGCAAAAAAAAAAGTGTTTGCGGATCTTTAGCCGTAAATAGAAAAATAAAGTAAAAAAATCAGGAGAACGAAAATTATTTGTCTTAATAATAATAATAGATATAATATATTTATTATTATTATTATCCAACCGCGCGCGAAATATGGTTGCTATAAGTAAATGTTGTTACCATCCTACACCGATAGAATATAGTAGAATAAGTATCTTAATATAATTAAGTGTAGGGCAGTTTGGTTAGAATAATATTAATAATTAATAATAAAATAGAGTCCCAATCCCAGTTGGATTGGAGGAGAGGAAATGGATTGGATTCTTGCAGCCTGTTCGGCTGGGATTATACGATCGTAAATTTTCAGCCGAAACAGTATTTTTCTTTCACACCAAACTAGCCAACAGTACTTCTTCACGATCCAACAACGAACAAGTCTTGCCAAATGAACAAGCCATTGGATTGGAAGTTGGAAGGGCTTCCATGCCATCGGACGGTTCCTGGGCTTTATAAGCAGAGTCCGTCTGCTACACAACATTTGTTTTATGCAGTTTCAACACATGAATTTTTTTGCACCATAGGATTAAGATCCAACAGTCTCCACCCTTCTTCTACCTCTAGCCTCCACAGATCACAGATCATAATTTTTTTTTATGGAAGGACAAATCATAGATTCGCCGCCGCCTCCACCGCCACTGCCATGGTCGGCGCGGGCGTGGGCGCCGGGGCGAGCTCGCTGGTCGCCGTCGCCGTCGCCGTCGTCGTGGTCACCGGTGAGAAAGAGAAAGAGAGAGAGAGAGAGAGAGAAAAAAATCCAACACATGTGCTGTATAAGCAACGAGAGGAGAGGCCAGGGGCAAAAAGTCAGGGCGTCCCGTCGACTCGTTTTCCTCATCACAATCAATCCGCCGCGCGCCGCAGCTAGCTAGGGTTTCGTCGCATCAGCCGATTCAGCAGCCCTCGTCGATCCATCATCGATGGCGTCCGAGGGCGACAACAAGAAGATGATCACCCTGAGGAGCTCCGACAACGAGGAGTTCGAGGTGGAGGAGGCGGTGGCGATGGAGTCGCAGACCATCCGCCACATGATCGAGGACGACTGCGCCGACAACGGCATCCCCCTCCCCAACGTCAACTCGAAGATCCTCTCCAAGGTCATCGAGTACTGCAACAAGCACGTCCACGCCGCCGCCAAGCCCGCTGACGCCGCGGACGCCAACACCGCCGCCGGCGGGGGTGGCGAGGACCTCAAGAACTGGGACGCGGAGTTCGTCAAGGTGGACCAGGCTACGCTCTTCGACCTCATCCTGGTCGGTAATCTCTTCCCCTTCCTCCTGTTTCCCCTTCTCTCTCCCCTCCGATTCGGTTAATTTATTTATTTATGTTTCTAGATCTATATAGCCTTGTCTAGGGTTCAGATTAGATTATAGATTACTTAGATTGATTGGTTGGTTATCCAATAATTAGATTGATTGTTTGATTGGTTATCCATTAGATGGATGGATTGATTGTGCGGTGCTGGATGTATAACTAATACCCTTGTAGCCATGCAGCCGTGCCCTGATTCTCTGTAATCATTTAATTTTTATGTCATGTGGTGATCCAAATAACTAACCCCTTTAGTGTGAGTACTATCGCCATGAGTACTATCGACGTGCCGTGCTTCTCTGGAATCAATCTTTTTTATGTGAGTAGAACAGTTTATTGATATCATGCTGTTGCTATTTGATTAACAATGCAGTAATAACTCTTTATGCTTACACTGGTATCAAGCTGTGTGTTTATATCCAAATCACCAACAAGATTATCTTTTACTCTGATGCAACTGTGCAATTTAAGCAATGCTATCTGCACAAAATAGATTTGGACAATGGTTTTGGATGCAGCACCACACATAGATTTAGTACCTTACCCTTTGGGCAGAGATAATTGTTGTCATATATGAATGTAGCTGTACATAAAATTGTTTGATTGACATAGTTTCTCTGAGATGTGGTAACATCTAACATCTGTTTGAGTTACAATTGATGAAAGTTGCATAGTTTGTTTTGTGCCTGCTGACACATTGGGTGCATGAGCTACCTTTTCAGGCTGCCAACTATCTGAACATCAAGGGATTGCTGGACCTGACCTGCCAGACGGTGGCTGACATGATCAAGGGCAAGACTCCGGAGGAGATCCGCAAGACGTTCAACATCAAGAACGACTTCACCCAAGAGGAGGAGGATGAGATCCGCAGGGAGAACCAGTGGGCCTTCGAGTGATTGTCTTCCGTGGTGGTGGTGTGGTGCTGCTTACAAGAAAGATGGATGTCTGCACAATGCTTTTAGTGCTAGTCTACTTACTAAATATATATATATATATATATATGGTCGTAATGGTTGTATGCCTTTTGGAGGCGGGTTATGGTTTGGATTGGATGGAGGTCAAACTGAGTTCTAGTTCGTTTGTCTGGAGTTATTATTAGTTGATATATTAATTAAGTACTACATATCTCAGCAATCAATTGGATCTTATGATGATTTGCCTCCATTGCTGGTATCTTGACGAGTTCTCTTGTTATATGTGTTGGTTCATGTCATGCTTCAGTGATGCTGTCTGTATGCGGTGCTTAATTGCATATTTATCTACATTGGATGTTTAAGTTTATATTTACAGTCGATGTATAAGTGTTAAGAATGGATTAGTTTGTTTCTGCTGTTGTGCCAACGGCCTAATTCTTGTGGTTGTCAAGAAGATAAGGGAAATGTTGAGGTAGGAGTTGGATTGATGGATGACCACTTGTCTGTTATCCACCAACCAAGACCCTCCTTCGGTCCTTTCTTTTCCTCTCTTCCTCTGGCAGACAATTGCCGGCGCCTCACCTCAGGTCCTGTATCAGATAAGGCAGAGAGAGAGGTCATCATAAGCAGCACAGGAGAAGCACGCTAGTATATTGTTTGAAAAGCCTCTCTTTGTTTCCTTCCCTCCCTTTTGGCAGCAGGGGCAGCCATGGCGAAGCCCATCTCCATTGAGGTGTGGAACCCCAGCGGCAAGTACCGCGTGGTGAGCACCAAGTCCATGCCGGGCACGCGATGGATCCGCCTGCTCACCAACAACGACTGCCGCCTTGAGGTTCTGTTCTTCTTGTCTGTCCATTTCCATTGCTCTGCTGCAATTCTGCATCCACCGAGTTGACTCTGTTTGCCTTCCCCGTTGGCAGATATGCACCGAGCAGAAGACCATCCTCTCCGTGGATGACATCCTGGCGCTCATCGGCGATCGCTGCGACGGTGTGATTGGACAGCTCACTGAGGACTGGGGTGACGTTCTCTTCTCTGCGCTCAAGCGTGCCGGAGGCACGGCCTTCAGCAACATGGCCGTCGGCTACAACAACGTCGATGTGGAGGCTGCCAACAGGAACGGAATCGCCGTCGGCAATACCCCTGTGAGTCTCTCCTGTCTCTGTTGCTGCTTTTGTTTGTTGTTGTTGCTGCTGTAGTTGAATTGCAATTGCAACCAAAACCAAAACCCCAACCCATGCACAGGGCGTTCTGACGGAGACGACGGCTGAGCTCGCCGCATCCCTCACGCTGTCAGCAGCCAGGAGGATCGTCGAGGCCGACCAGTTCATGAGGGCTGGCCTCTACGACGGATGGCTCCCACATCTGTCAGTCCATTCCTCCCTCTGCTTCCTCAGCTTATCCTATGTGTCGTGTGATCCTGTGCCATGCATGTACTCCTGTATCAACGCTTCATTCGCCTGTGTGTATTGCTGCAGGTTCGTTGGCAACCTGCTCAAGGGGCAGACTGTTGGAGTCATTGGAGCTGGTCGCATTGGCTCCGCCTATGCACGCATGATGGTACGCTACTCCTATATTGGAATTGGAATTGGAATTGCCTGATTCAGGAAAGCTAAGCACTCCCTCCTCTATCTGCCATTGCTACCACAGATTGAGGGCTTCAAGATGAACCTCATCTACTACGACCTATATCAGGCCACACGCCTTGAGAAGTTTGTCACAGGCAAGCTACTAACTGATAGCTATATTGAGTACATATGTCACTGCATACTGGCACGTATAGTTGTATACTAATCTGCTTGCTTTGTGCATTGCATTCCTCCGACCCAGCATATGGGCAGTTCCTGAAAGCAAACGGTGAGGAGCCTGTCACCTGGAAGAGGGCCGCCACCATGGAAGATGTCCTCAGGGAGGCTGATGTGGTCAGATTCATCATCCTACAGTACAGTATTTATTATTATATATTGACATAATCTCCACTGGAATTCACACAAAAGAACAACTGAATTGTACAATCAATTAATCTGACTATAATGGCTTCACTCATCATATTAATTCGTTTGTTGACTTTGCTTGTTTCATTTGGCTTGCGCGGCAGATAAGTCTGCATCCAGTGCTGGACAAGACCACTTACCATCTGATAAACCCTGAGAGGCTGGCCATCATGAAGAAGGATGCTGTTCTTGTGAACGCAAGCCGAGGGCCCGTGATCGATGAGGTCGCCCTGGTGGAGCACCTCAAGGCTAACCCCATGTTCCGTGTCGGGCTCGACGTCTTTGAGGTACCTACTCCATAAAATAGAACAGAATGTTGCGGATGAGCAATTCAGCATTAGCTTGATTATTAAGCTAGCAGCTGATCCATATATGCTCCATCACATCAGAACTGAATTGAATACTGCTCATGCAATGTTTTCTACTTACTCAACAGGATGAGCCTTACATGAAACCTGGACTGGCTGACATGAAGAACGCCGTCGTAGTACCGCACATTGCATCAGCCTCCAAGGTACTGCGACTTTTTTTGGCAATCAAGTTGCATTGTGGTGTCTGATTGAGTCTTTTAATAAATTTGATTTGGTTCGAGGTTCTCTACTATAAAATAATAGCGCCCGACTGATGAGATTGAGACCAATATAATCTTTTTCGTTTGTTTTTTTCCTCAGTGGACACGTGAGGGAATGGCAACACTGACTGCTCTCAACGTTCTTGTACGTAAGCTAGTCTGTCACTACTGCATGCACTCTGCATTAGCCGTGCTGCTATATAAATACAGTACTGTGATGTGAATTATTATTGTCGTTACTGATCCATGGAGAGAATTGGCAACTGGGCGCAGGGTAAGATCAAGGGGTACCCTGTGTGGGGAAACCCCAATCAGGTGGAGCCCTTCTTGGAGGAGAATTCGACGCCACCGCGTGCCTGCCCAAGCATCGTTAATGCCAAACAGCTTGGTTGGTGACCCTCCCATCTACTTTACCGGCCGGCCGGCAGGCAACAGGCAAATCAATGAAATCTCTACTACTACTGCTATACTGCCATGCATGTGTCGTGTGTGTGTTGTCATCCAGCTAGCCATTACATGCATCTTTGACGATCTTCGTCAAGTTCACTTTCACTTGGCTGTTTATAAGTTGTACTTTTTCAGCTAATAAATAGTATTTTTCTCTTATAACAAATTAATAATAGTATTTTCAATCATAGCTTATCAGTCAAACGAACAGAGCACTTATCTTGTCCAAATAACATGTTTCCTGTTTCCTCGACAGCTAGAAACATATGCATATGGCTGCTGAGGGCTCAGCTCCTCGTCGTTATATTTACATTACATTACATGCATTTGTTTTGTTTGTCAGTAATAATAGTTGCCAACTTTATTTGACCACGTATGTTGCAGGCCTGCCATCGGCAAAGCTTTAGGAGCCAACGTTGACGTGCTGTATATAGGTTGCTGCCTGGCTAGTATCTTCAAGTGAAGACGTGTCGTCGTGTCCAGCAGCACATGCAGTCCATGCATATGGATGAGCAGCTAGCTGATCTGAGGTGCTCCGGACTACAGAGCTAGCATGGATGTACTGTACAGTCAGGCCTCATACTGAATTATTTAGTGTGTGTGCGTGTGTGTGTATATATATATATATATATATGCAGCTTGGGTTCCGGTATATAACAATAAAAACAATGCAAGCACATGCATACGGCTGTATATATTATATGCGACTTAATTTTGATCCATATATATATATATATATACACATATATATGTTAATCAATGCTATGTTATACATATATGGCTTTGTTTAGCTGGTCGAATTCGGCGACATCGGATTCACTGTGCGCACTGTAGCATTTCGTTTGTATTTGGTAATAATTGTCCAATCGTTGACTAATTAGGCTCAAAACGTTCGTCTCGTAAAGTATAACCTAACTATGCAATTAGTTTTTGATTTCGTCTACATTTAATACTCCAAGTTTGATCTGATGAAATCTTCTTTTTATATAGTGCCAAAGTTGAGAGTTGGAAACAACTAAACAAGGCCTATAAGGATCTATCAGATCCCTCCTTATATATCAATATGCACATGTGTGTGTGCGGGTGATGAATAGCGTATTTAGAGCTTGTTTGGCACATCTCACAACAGCTCATATGAGTTTCATAAGCTGTTGTGAGCTGTTTTATTTATCAACACTTATTTTCAAAATAGTTTTACTTATGAAGTTGTTTTTCTCCCTTCTCACAAAGATATGAATTGGAATAAAGCTGAAAAAAGTAGCTTATCTTAGCTATCTTCCTCATTTCTCTTTCCTATCCATGCATAAAGCTATTGGTAAAGCTATTTTACCAAATAATTTTTCCTAAATAGCTTAGCTTCACTTAGAAAATTGCTTATAAAACTATTTTAGTGAAATTGAGCGGTGCCAGACAAGCCCTTAATTATACAACGTATATATGCGTACAGTCATCGTACTGTATGCTATAGTAGGTTGCTGTGCAGGCCACCAGCAGGGTACAGTAGTTAGTACATTTTGATCCTTGACAATGCGAAGAAGAAAGCTAAGGTTATATTCGGTTGCCATTATAAGCCGATTCATCAGTCAATCATGGTTTTCAATATTGGCTGAAATTTTCTGATATTTCCGATATATCCTCTTTATTCGTAGGTGACGATAAGAAAATATTTATCTTTTTTATACAAATTTTGTTTAAATTTATTTAAATTTACTTAAATTTGGTCTGATATTTCTGATATATCCTGTTTATTCTCTTTATCTGTGACCCCCGATAAATTTTAATTTCCGAAAATGAAAACCTTGGATACAATATCTTTCTCTACCAACGATTTCGACGAATCAGCCGTGCAAATATCTAGCTGCTGTCTCCCTTGCAATCTATACGTGCATAATACAACACATATACTCCATATAGGCAGTACTAGATAGATAATTAATGGCACGGAGGTACATTATATATTATAATTCAAT